TTATTGAGTGCATTTTCTCATTCTTGAAGCAGCGAATATTTCGAACGTTACATACCAGACCTGTCAGTAAACTTTAAGCTTAAAACGGATCCCTTGCATCCTTTATGGTGTTCTATTTCACATTAAGTTAAGCATTCTATTAGCGAGATCTGCGTTTCTTCAGTACTGTAATTGTTGTATGTCAGCTGGAATTATAGAATAATGTCTGAATTTAATTGCCATTCTACTTCAGTTTTGTCTTATCACTATGTCAAGTTCTTGGATATGTTGTGCATACGATATTTATTAATTGTACGAGAGACACGTTCATTGATGAGTGTTTAGTTATATGTTAGCCATAATCTCAAACGTCTATAGTATTAAAGGGTATTCTGTATTCCAAAAATATCTGATCTATTAGAATTAATTTCATACGTACGTATCTCCCATGGATCATTTTAATTCTCTGTACTGAGCAGATTGGCATATGTGGCACAATAAACGCTCCCAAAATTTGTGATACATCAAGGTTAATACTGTTGGTCAATTGCACTGCCCGCTCCTAATTTTGCAAACACCCGCATTAGTATTAACCATGTATGGTATGGCAGTTTGTATATTATGTGATCTCAAACTTTTGTGTAAGCCACCTCCTCAGTTGTTATGTGTGGCATACATCGGGACGTTTCGAATCAGCGTTTAAGCGAATAATTTCTTCGTAAAATATCTGGTTACCTGATCTTACATTATGATTGTTTTCACCGAATGTATAAAAGTTAAACGTCAAGTGCGAATATTAGTTAGTATAGTGCAGCAGGGTTAATATTATTAATGTCGAATTATTGTTATGACATACAAACATAATCATAAAACTTATTACTTGTCGCTGACCCTTTGCCATTCTCGTGAATTAATCCGATCTTCTAATACATCAGTTTCATGCACATTACACACTAGAATTCTGTGTTACTCGTATATTAATATTAATATTAATATTTTATCAAGAGGCATTTCAAGTTATAATTGTTATCTTAATCAAAAATACGATGATTATAATTGGTCATGTGTGACACAACGAAAAAGACCATCATAGTAGTGCAAAATATATATGCTAGAACACCTCCACAAACACATTTCTGGAAGTAGTACGATTATGCTAACGTCACAAAAAACCCCAAATGTCTGCGTCTGTCAAAATGTATATACTAGAACACCTAAGTAGTACGATTATGCTAACGTCACAAAAACCCCAAATGTCCGCGTCTGTCAAAGTAATTGTAAGTTTTCTAAACGAATTATTATCGTTGAATTGACATTGACTACAACATGATCACTTGTAAGAAAAGACATTTTTAGCACAGTTTAGGAAATGTACGTAAACAATAAGCTGACATAATGTGTGCAATTAAAGTATAAATAGAGTATCTGTTACGCACAAAAATAAAATCACCATAAATTGTTTGGTAGTTTTCTTTGAAGCATATACTTATTTGTTCAGTATAATCACTATGAAAAGAATTACGCGATCGCAGAAAGTGTCTGAATCGGAATTAGTTGGCCCATTAATTCGTCAACGCCGTCCAAAACGACAGCCCATTCCGATGGGTTCTGAAAATGTTAGCTTGACTTCTCAGAGACTAATGCCAGATTCGGAAACAATCAATTCGGAAATAATCTCATCGGATTTTGAAACTTCAGAGGAACGGTCAGTCGTACAATGCTCAAGCTCAACAAATAAACGTCAAAAAATTGTATCTGTCGCTTTCAGGGAGCAGCTAGAAGAAACAGAATCATTAAGTGAGACTTTAGAACTGCCTTTGAATTTATTCGAAGGCAAAACATTTTCGAATGAAGCTACATTTATTGATTTTGTAAAAGATTATGCTAAAAAAGAAGGATTTTCTGTTCGTCTCGACAAGGTTGCACGGCATAAAGAAACTAATACCGTTAAAAAACGTACAATTGTGTGCTCAAAAGCACGTACTCCTTCTACTAAGAAAGAAATTGAGGGTAAACGTAAAAGAGCACCGCAGGCAACTAATTGTCCATTCCGAGTTCGAGCATCTTATGATTCAGCAACTGGTCTTTGGCATACACTAGACATCAGACTCGAACACAATCACCAAATGGTATTACCAGAACAACGTCGATTTATGGCAAATGAACGAGAACTTCCTGAGGATGTTAAAGCAGAAATTCTTTTACTCAAACGATCGGGTCTTCACGTTTCTCAAATCCGTTCTGTTCTCGCAACAAAATTCACTAGCCGTGTTACCTGGATTTATAACGATTTATACAACTTTTTACATAATTCGGGAAGTCTTACCAACAAAGACTTTGATGCTCAGGAGTTTATTGACACACTGAAATATCTTCAGACAGATTATCCGGAACTTGCCTTTGAATATCAATGCGATCCAATGTCTAAACGACTTCAACACGTAATTTGGATGTTTCCTGAACAAAAAATAGCATATTCTCGTTTTTACGATGTAGTCGTTTTTGATAATACTTATTCGACCAACCGTTTTTCTATGCCATTTGGCATATTCAGTGGCGTTAATAATTATGGTCAGTCTGTCTGCTTTGCAGGAGCATTAATGACATCTGAAACAGCGGAAAGCTTTGTGTGGATTTTTAAAAGCTTTCTTAAGATTGTTAACAACCATTCTCCAGGAGTACTATTAACCGATAATGATAAAGGCATTTCTAGCGCTTTTAATCGAACCTTCGCCCTTTATGGTTCAAAACATCGATTGTGTCTTTGGCATTTATTCAAAAATGTTGTGAAGAATTTGCAAGGAGTGCTTGGTTCAGATTGGTCAACGTTTTCAAACGATTTTTATGCATGCATAAAAGAAACCGAGGAACAGACTTTTTTAGAAAGATGGGAGACACTGAAGCAAGATCATGTACACGCTGTAAAGTACTTAACAACTATGGAAAAAACTAAAGAAAAATGGGCTCCTTGTTACTTATCTGATATATTCTTAGCGGGTATGACAACAACACAAAGGGGAGAAAGTATGAACGCTCTTTTGAAAAATTTTTTTGATGCCACTACTTCGTTGCAAGAGTTTCTTGAAGCATTTGCTTCGGCAATAGAGTCGAGAAAAGAAGCTGAAGACTATGCTGCATATAAAGAAAATAATCTCAATACACGTTGCAAGTCTGGTAACCCCTTTGAAGAGCAAGCAAATTGTCTTTATACTAGATATGCTTTCTGTAAAATACAGGAGCAAATTCATCAATCAATGAATTATAAATGCATTCTTACAAGGTAAATTTTAATACTTTTGTAATTTTACTTTATGAGTTATGTACAATTATATAATCAGCTATTTTTTTTTATATAGTGAAACAGAGAAGCAATATAAAGTAACTCGTGTAGGACAGCAATCCTCTTCTAGCATGCCAGCTAGATTGTATTACGTTCAATATAATGAAGAAGACCAGGTTTTTAAATGCACCTGCAATCAGATGAATTTTGTTGGAATACCTTGCAGACACATTATTCGTGTTGCAGTTCAATTAAACCTTGAAAGTCTTCCAACATCACTTTTTCTGAATAGATGGTGCAAAGACCCAAACAAAAATACCCTGGTTCAAAATTACACTTCCTTTTATAATAGCAGACGTGCTTCAACTGCTAGAGAAGAAACAGAATTTGATTCACAAAATAATGAAGAATATCAAATATTTCTTTTAAACCAGACATTAAGGAAGATTGAACGTTATGCAAGATTGCAGCCTGGTGTTGTGAACTTTTTCAACACAAAATTGGAAGAAATTCTACAAAATGCTGGATCGGCAGTGTCAGTACATAATAACAAGTCTCCTAAAATATATAACCCATCCATTGTTAAAACAAAAGGCCGCATATCAAAACGCGCTACAACACAAAGGCAGGCAGAGATGAGTAGCTCACAAAAACATGTGCCTGTATGTGGCTTATGTAGACAAACGGGTCATACAAGACGTAGCAAAAATTGTCCCAAAAATATACAAAAAAGAGAACGTAGTGAGTCGTACTCAGACAGTATGACAGATTCTACTACCGATGATGAAGAAAGCGAAGACAATTATGCAGAAGAGCTACAGGAAGACGAGAGTGAAAGTAATGACAACGGTAAGAATTTAGTAATTATTATCTTTGACTTATGCATTTCCAGGCTAAGTTTTTTTTCTCTAACTCAAGGCATTCAAATCCAAGAACCTTGTCCTTATTGCAAAGAACCATTACCCAGCCCCCTTCCACCAAAACTTGAAGCTAAAATTCTTTAACATTGTCTAAAAAGTTTAACTAAGTTTATATCTATATTGAACAGAAAAGTTGTCTGCGATAGAATCATATGCATTCTGTATGTTCCATGCAGCCGAATTAACATTTGTGCCAGATGGTATTAAAAAAGGATATCCAACTGCAATAGACTTTGATAGACTTCCTGGCAGAATCAAAGGATTCGAATCCAAATTGCTGGATATTATTGAAGGCAGAGTAACAAGTCAATATAGGGAATTGAGTAAGGATGCATATAAGGAGTTTGGTCAGAAGGCAAGATCAACAATGGTTTTAATGGGAAGGTTTGAAGAGTTACAAGTAAGTAGAATTTATAAGTTCAACATTAGAATTTTAGGTAATGTTACACACTAAAAATTTTTTTAATTCTCTCATAGACTGGCTATTATGGACCTAAAGGGGCATATGTAATGCTTAATACATTACTCGAAATGTTCATGCGGACTAATAAGTTAACAACAGAGTTAGCGAGTCCTCAAAGGCCCATCGAATACATTCATGAAGTTCTTGTCCCTGAAACCTGTATAATACTTATTCAGGAAGATAGAGAAGGGATTTCCTATGAAGCAGCGCAAATCATTATGAATGAGAGTAATGCCTTTGGTTTACACATGTTTCCCGATGACTAATGAATATGACTAAGTAACAATTCTAAGATAAAAATTATATTTTTTAAGAACGTATGCATTACTTAATTTTAAGGCTTTTTTTTTATGCTATTCTTATAGTATCAATTTAAAAAAGAGATTTTGTCATCACATCTGTATCTTACTTATTTAGCTATACTTGGAATATTGCAATGCAAGGATTATGGATTACAAATATTACATTCGTTACAACGCTCGATCAATCAGTCAAAGCTTCTCTTTTTACAGCCCGCATTTTTTATGCGAGTGAGTAAACTAAAACTACAATACGTAACTATCAAAACCAAATCAGGAACTTAAAGCATATGGCACCATAAGACGATAAAATAATGACACACACCGCCATTATTATGTTTCATATATTCGTGTAATAAAAACAAGCAATAATTATTGGTTTCGATAATTTTAAAAGAAAGGCTTTTCGTATTAATCCAAACGCTATATTCTAACAAACGTAATGACTACTACTAACCTTACTAAAACAACAATGTTATGTTAAAGACAATTGGTGTAATTTACGTAAACAATAATGATAAATTATCGTATCGTTATATACTGCTGCAGCTTAGTTGCGACATTTAGTGATTGCATTTTTGTACGATGATCATTTCTGTTGCACTTGATTTTATTTGTGCATCGTAGATTATATTTGTCGAATAATTTACGCACACATGCAGTGATTACGATGATCATTTCCGTCGGGACTATTCTTATGAGAATAAGCACCTATTTATATATCGCATTTTTATGTAAACATCAATAAGATTAAATAAGATTAGGAAACAAATTTATAAGTTGATAACTACGATGAAATATTAATACATTAATAGCATATGATTCTGGTAATGTTCCCAGTGTATTAGAAGATCGTTGGGGTCAAGTTATCACATGATTATACATCGACAAGTAATAGGTTTTCTGATTAATGTAAATTAAAGTTTACTGACAGGTCTGGTATGTAACGTTCGAAATATTCGCTGCTTCAAGAATGAGAAAATGCACTCAATAA